TAGCGGCAGGCCTAAAATTTTGCGGAGGGAATTCATTCACGAGAGTTTGAACCAGTTTGTACAATTTTTAACCTGATATAACAAGTTTGGAGGAAGATTATAAATGCTAGATTTTAATATCTGCTACATCTAATACTTTCTACAAAGCCAAAGATGTCAAGTGTTCAGTACCTGTGAGTCTGCAGTAATCTCTGTGGTGTGTTCTGTGAGTTTGGTCAATGTCTCTGCTGCTTGCTGGGCAGTAGATAGGCTGTCAATAGTTAAATTTCCCACTGCCTCCATCATATCACTCCGTATCTGTGGAAGAAAAGACTTGCTGATGCTATACAGTAATTACTTGATCTTTTAAATATGCAAAAATTGTGAATTTTATGTATACTATATTTTTAAAGTCATAATTTATAAAAATTAGCTAGAACATTTATATTGAGTGGTAGCAACAAAGTTAAAAAGTTGGCTACTGTGTAGTTTATTCTATGAAGTAAAAGTACAACAAATACTACACAGAAATATAATTTTTGTGATTATAAAATATTCTCAAAGTTTTGTAGTTTTTGCCCATAGAAAAGATTGAGTAATTACCATAGCTTTTCTTTCTGGCTGTCAAAATGTTATTTATTTCATTGATATACCTTCACTTATATTTTACTAAATATTCATATATCTATATACTTCTAACATTTATCTATCATTACCCTTTTCACTGTCATTTACGTATCTTTTAATACACTTATCTATCTACCTGTTCCCGCCTTTCTGTGTTAGGTAATTTTTCTGTCCCAGAATTCAACAAGAAAGTCACAGCATCAACCAGTTGTAGAACAGCTAAAAGTCAATATCATAGGAAAGGATGCAATGCAATGTTATAATTAACATAAAGATCTTTACTGTGACATATGGTGACAAACTTTTCAAAATTAACGTGAAGACCCATTTTCAAGCTCGAAGAAATTTTCAACGTCAAAAAAATTACATTGGCAGAAAAATGTCTGCAGACGAAATTTTCAAGACCAACAAATTTTCAAGACTTAACCATAACTGACAGATTCGAACCAGCTGTAGGACAGCATAAAGTCAATTCACCAGGAACAGATATTCACATATAGAACTTAAAATACCTTGTCTTATTGAAATATCAATTGAAAAACAATAATGGTAAAGACGATGATTAAGTAAAAAATCACAGCCCAAGGGTTGAAGGTTTATAATTATTTAGATAGAAAGAGAACCTGTGTGATCACTTTCCCTCACAGCAGTCCACAAGCTGCCGTTCCGATCCCCTGTTGTCGCCTCCAGAAAGGTACCAACACCACCAGTCGCAAAGTCAGGATGGTCACCTAATGGATGGACCTTAAACAGAAAATACACCAAATCTAATCTAAACTAATCTTATAGAGCACATTCAGAACATGTTGATCAGTAGACTAACAGATCTATGATCAGATGTGGTCAGCCCACTTAAGGACGCTCTCTCATATTTCAGATTTCATATTTCTGCCCTAGCGATTTTGATTAAAATTGTAAGACAAAATTTTCTTACCATATGAGTAAAAAATATGAAAAAAAAATTGGGGGTACCCAGGCTCGTTTTCGAGAGGTGGCGTCCCGAAAAACGCTACGTTTATTACATTGCGTTATATGGGGATTTTGCCAAAATGCCCTTAATTTTGCTGAAAAATGCAAAAATAAAAAATTCTGCCCTAGCGATTTTAATTTTATGTGGATATGTTATAGATCTTGGTAGACCTCAAAGAAATTTACAAAAAAATATGTACCACACCATGCTTGTTTTTGAGCCAGAGCTGCTTGAACATTGTTTTTTATCAAATTTACATAGGAATCAATGGAAATTTCCAAGCAAATTTAAATAAATATGTTTTGTATCGTGGGTTTTTAACTCATACACTTATTTTGCTTCAATGAAAATTATATTTATACTTCTCTGCATCAGCTAACCAAATTTCATAAAGTTTGCTTATCCCATTCATAACAAATAGATATTCAAATGTTGAAAGTATCAGTTGGATTTCAGTATGCCTCATGGAATACCGCCATATTGGATTTTTCAAAGGCTGGACCTATAAGGATGAATTACGTATTTTATTGCATGTTATATTTTCATAATTAGCCGCTATCGCAAAAAACTACTCATGCGCGAAATCTGCGCAGATCGCAAAAAAAAGCTAATATAAGAGAACGTCCTTAAAAGCAATGCCAACTAAACCACTGATGGTCTACCCATGGTGCAGATTGCGGCGGTCTTCTGGGTCTTCCAGAAGATGGCCAGATTTTCAAGTTTACATTGACCAGTACCCAATTTTTTTCTGTCGGAAGACAGTCAAAAAAGGAGGATGGATCAACAAAGATAATTTGGAAGATTGTCAGAAAATATCTCTGGATCCGCCCCTGTCCCCATCTTGACTCTCACTGGCCCAGCAGGGGCCAATATTTTCTAGCAATTAAGCATTGGAGACAATATTTTATCTTTTTAATGGCCCGTGTGGAGACAAGGAGACCATCATATGATTATGTGGCTTACTTTTAAGTGGGGTCAGCCACATTTAGTTTGCAGATCATCTGTTCTGAAAGGGACCATGTATTTATATAATACCCAGACGACCTACCGGATGGCTCAAATGGTAGAGTGCTCGCCTCCAGTGCAGTAGGTTGTGGGATCAATCCCCAGCCGGGTCATACCAAAGATTACCATTAAAATGGTACCTACTGTCTCCTTGCTAAGCACTCAGCATATAAAGGTTGACGTAAGGAACAAAGCCAATACTGTTGAATGACTGGTAACTGAGGGCTATGTGGAAGATAAGCTTAGGCTTAACATGCTTACCCTCTTTAACTAAAGTTCAAAATAAAAACAAGGCAGCAAAGCTGTCAAATGTACAGACAAAAAACAGAAAATAAAGATATAAAAAAGGTCATTTTGTCAATTTTGATGCAATAATAAATAACGCTTATAATAGCACTGTCAGTCAACACTGAATTTTAATCATGCACAACAGGTAACATGGTCAATAACAGGAGCGGACCCTGAGATATTTTCTGACAGTATTCCAAAGTATCTATGTTGATCCATACTCCATTTTGATGGTCTTCCAACAAAAAAAAATAGATACCGGTCAATATAAACTTAATAACCTGTCTTCCAGAAGACCCAGAAGATGGTCTCAATCCACCTCTTCAATAAGATTACAGTGTCAGGACCATGAGAGACCAAAGTCACATGATGAAAGTCTCAATATTTGAAAAATGATGACAGTGCATAAAATAATATTATATAATGTTTAAAGACATAAAAAACAATACCATTGCTTATGTGGAAATACAGAAAATGTGCAGAGCATCGAGCGGATGAGAATTAAAAGTCACAAATGCAAGTGTTTGAGAAAAAATTGTAAAGGAAAACATAACAAAACTAGAAAACCACCGATAGTGCAGACCTCTGCCAAGGCAGCAATTGTTGATTATTATTGANTCTAAATGTAGCCTAAAAGTGGACAAGAGAACTAAAAAGGTTGCTATTTGCTGTTAGCAAATTGCTATCTGTAGAGATAGAGAAACAGAAAACATCTATTCAATATTGGAAGCAATAAACCTTATCAGCATCACTGCCTATTTAAAATGAGTGACAAGTGAGTGGATGGAACCTAAACAGCGCTGAGAGACAGAAGGGTTTGATTTGCAGTCTGTTTCTAGGCTAGGTGTTGACAAACATGTGGTTAATAAAAGGCATATTGGTTTTACCATGTGGCAAGCATTACCTTACACTGGGATAATTGACACGTGGAATTTTTTAGAAAATGAAAAATTTCAATTTACCAAGGTTGTGGTAGTGATTTCATTACAAAAACAAAATCTTTAATTAAGATTTTCAAAATTATTCTCATTTGATATGAACAAGTGAGGCCCAATAATGAAAATGCCACAGCTTTCCCTTTCTCGATCCAAGACAAAATGGTGTATCAGCTTCTGTCCAAAAGGTAAAAAAAAAAAAGATTAAAAAGTACACCCTGAAATTCTACACCCATAAGCAAATAACTTTCCCAAAACACTCTGAAACCCAGGGCATCTCCGTGGTTTGTCCAGATTTTACAGCAATCTTATCACTTTAATGGGATGATTGCAAAGCCATTACGCAGGTTGTTGATTCTTCACACCTAGGGTCTAATTACAGCAGACAGGGTTGGAATCAAGTTGTCTCTGCATGAAGCAAAGGATCCAAATGAAAGAATCCAGATAAGATAAAGTACTGTAGATAACGTCTGGAACAAAAGATCAGCTGCATGTAAAACAGATTAGCTATAACACACTCCTCCCTCCCAAACACACACACCTTTAGGATTGGATTAAAAACTTCCTTTATTATGACACAAAACAAAGATCTAGAGTTGGACTACAACTACCATGAGTCAAAATTGTTGTTTTTTTTTTAAGATTGAAAGATGTTTTATTAACAAGGAAATGATTAAGCTTTAGAAGACTGTCCAGCCTGGATATCTTTCTCATCCTCTGAGACCAAATGAAAAAAGTTGTCTAATTTGAAAACTTTAGACCCTAGAAAATGTACTATATACAGGTTGATACTCCATTACATTTTTTAAATAAAATCTTTGAAAGTAGTTCAAGGAAAAAAGTTTGTCAACGCTTTGCTACAAGTATATGACAAGAAAAGAAATCACCACTGGCATATCAATCCATAAAACTATCAAATAATAGTAGAACATATTAGGGCACTTATAAAGTGTTATTTCTACTAAACATCATTGCATTTTTTTGAAATTTTTGTAGCTCCTGTAAAGCCATATTCAACAAGAGAATTAAGTGAAGTGTGTAAGCTGACAGAAGTTTTTTTCTTCAACTAACTGTACCACACAGTACAAGCACTACCAACCAGATTACATTGACAACCATGATCTTTTGTCTTTTATGATGTAATGGCAGGTGATATATGATTCATGGTGGTGGGTAAAAAAAAAATACATTGTTTTCAGAAATAATCCAAATAATCTAGCATGCAACTGAATTTTTTTATAAACCAGGTACTTGAAAAGTAAAGCAGCCAGATTTTTTTCAACTGTTTGATTCCATGGTAATATCACAGAGTGAAAATATACAATTCAGAGACTCCAACTGATTTGTTCATGCTAGGATCCAACATAAGAACATCGTGTTGGATCCTAGGGTCATAAAAGCAGTTTAGTATAAGCAGGGAATTATACCATATAATTCCCTGGTATAGGTATCACCTTACTTTTAAGTCACTTTAACTAGATTCTGAATGAAAATTAACATTTTTTGAAAAAAGGGGAAAAAAACAACAGCAAAAAAAAAAAAAAAAAAAAAAAAAAGATAATTTTAGGTCACTGATGAAAGAGTCATACACAGAGTTTTTTTTTCAAATTACTGTTAATAAGTACACAAAATATAAGTGGGTTTGGGTATTCTCTTCACAAAAAAGGGCTGAATCAGTTCCCCCAGGCTGTCCCCCCTCCCTCAAGAATGGTGGATTAATTTTTTTGGTCCCAAGTCTTTAATATTTTTGAGCCACCTCTGATGGAAATAAAGGACAGTCTTATACTTAACATGAATTTCAATCCAACCATTTCAAGAACATGCATCGTATGAAAGGGATAGACAGAAAATTGTATTACTTTACATGGTGACCAGTGAATGTACAAATTTATTTATTAGAATTAACTAGATCCAAAAACATTATGGTAGGTAACATCTAATGTTAATTCATTTAAAACACACAATTGCTTTTGTATGATTATTATGATTCTTCACATTTGACATATTTGCATGCCAAGTGGCATCACATTGGTTGTCCTTTGATGTAGCAGCCACTTCCCTTATATATCACCTGTAAAAACAGCACAGAAGAAACACATAAGGTACTTGTGAGTTGGAAAAACCATGTGGTCTATGAGTACAGGTGTATCCGTTAATTCACAGGTGAACCACAGCATAGCAAAGTCTTGTTCTGTAACTTATAACTTTGACGGAAAAGAAAATTTCAAAACAATTTCCCTAATAGGGTGAATAGTGGCATTAGTGGAGGAATTCCAGTGATCTTGGCTATGCAGGTCTTTAAGAGTGAATGGTTTGAACATATGCTATGGTAGGGTTCTATTTCTGTGATCTAATCAATAAAACAAATTATTTGTTGCCACATCTAACACAAGAAAGGGACAAAATTCAATTGCACAATTGCGGTTGTTCCACACGAGTGCTGTTGCCATTTCCGCCGAGATCTAAACAGAAGACGTGGTTGAATTTTGCACAAATTAAAATATTTGCTGGCATCAAGATTGAGCCAAAAAAATGAAGCACAAGTTAAGTAATTTCTTTTCAATGTTTACAAACTAAATCATTTTGTACCTTGTGTGATTGCATTGCATAATGTAATTTATCCAAATTATTGTTTATTTCAATATTTTGTTAATTTATTCAAGGCAAATGACATGCACTCAGAACTGTTACAGCCATCACAATATCAATGCTGTCTCCTTTAAGTCAGACATTCAAATGAATTCAAAGTGCTACAGAACCCTTCCCTCCTCCAAAAAATTTAATCAAAGCAGCTTATATGAAAGCCATTAAAAATATATATATTTCCAAGAAATAAGTGCACAGAAATATACCATCTAGTGACAACACATCATTTTTATCTGTGACTTATGACTTGATAAATGTAAAGTAATATCAGTAAAACTGTATATGGTATGTTTCCATAGCTTGATTGCAAGTAAACATTTTTTATAGATTTTAAAGAACCATAAGTACCCCATGAGCCCTTTGATAGTACCAACTGATAGTACTTTTAAGCATAATTCAAATATTTTTCATGGAAAATTTTGTGTTGATGATCCATCTATCATGGCCTTCAGGGGGACGGGTGGGGGGGGGGGTATTTAATCAATCAGGTATATTGGACAATAGTAAGAAACATGCAGCCAAGATGACATGAATATGGCAGTAGGAACAAGCGCATACATAAAATGCGGATTTGAACATTTGAAATAAAATCCAAATGATTCATTCCATGTCCTGATAAAAAGTGAAACCCATTGGAAGTAAAACCACATCATTTTTCAATTCGATTAACTTTCTGGTTAGTGAGTGATTCATAGAGCTGAATGTCACTTAGTGTGAGAAAATTGAAGCATAAGTTAGTTATCAGAATCCAATATGGGACATATTTGGACAACAAATTAGCAACAAACAATTGATCAATGCTATTCTAATTTAATCAGAGTGACTAACCAGGCGTAACTGCTATAATCAAGATAATAATACAGAGTTCATCCTCCTTAAATGTTTGGGGGTGTGGTCTCCCAAAATAGAGTCGTTAACACTTAATGCATATTTCTAGAAAAATACAATTTTTATTTTTTATTTAGCAAAAAATCTTAATTAATATTTTGTATTTTCCCTTTATTAAATAAGTAATTTTAAACACCCAAAGAAAGCTTTTTAATGAAACAACATAAATTTGACTTGATTTACACACACACACTTATTATATACAGAGGCTATATGTATCTCCATGTGTTCTGACCACTGTGTCTGTCTGTGTTGTCACTGTGGCTGTCCAACACATTTCTAAACATTTCTTTTTACCCTATAGCTGCTAAACCCTATTTTTGTTTTACTTCAAATTTGCTGAGTAGCTTTGTTTGGTAAAAAGGCAAATTCATTTTGAAAATCTGCAAGTTAATTATGATTTTTTCATTGCAATTATTGTTGCAATATTTTTTTCTATTTGGTGTCTGTATATTTTTGCAAGCTTTGTTGTTTAGCTAATAAAAGCAATTTTATGTTTATATCCTTTAAATCTATGATAGGAAAAAATCTCTCAAATGTTCTTAAGGCAATTAAGTAGTGTGAGGTATACATAGAGAATCAGTAAACAACATCACCCAGGGACAGAGTATAGGAGTCTTAAAACTGAATCTTCTTCTAATCAGAATCACCTGTCTAGTTTTCAGTGAACTGTGAAATCCCTTTTTCTCCCAGGTACCTCCCACACTAACAAACAATCTGCGAGGAAGCCATTTGATTATCTGTTTATTTATTTACCTGTAAATCACTTCAAACTGTCCGAATGGGAATGTATTACACCGCAGTGGCAGAGGACAAGTTGTTTATCTTGAGGTGTGTTCACATTGGTTCTAGCTTTATCCAAAAGACCAATTTGTGTCACCAGATGCTTGTGTTGCTAATAACATGTTTTTTTTTTTAAAGACTAAAGCAATGAGGGTTCCAATAAGTCAGTTGTTTCAATTTGTCAGTTTGGAAATCTTCAATATAAATAAGACTACATGTGAACTAACCTTTCAATATTTAACTTCAAGTTTTGACTGTCCTTAAAATAATTTCTTACAATTTGAGTTTTTTTTATTTTGCATAATTAATCATCTTCTAACTTTATAATCCAATATGATAATAACTTTTGTACGATATCATATACAATATTCTAAGTTATAATTATCAGTATTTTCTGTGTGTGTGTGTGTGTGTGTGTGTGTGTGTGAGAGAGAGAGAGAGAGAGAGAGAGAGAGGGAGAGTAATAAGAGTAGAGGCCCCAATGGTAACTGATCCATGACCTTTTCTTTGAAGTCAAACTGCAAATCTGACAAGAATAATTTTCTGAGATATAACAACAAATGGTTTGTCATTTTATCTCCGGGAAATCATTTCTGACAGTGTGATGTAATGCCAACTTGTTTGGGTCCCTCAGGTTAATTTCATGCTTGTTTGTCTCATTTTTGTCAGACTAAGCTGCTGTGTTCGAATTAACAATTATAATAGTATTGCTGAAATTTGGCCACGTAGAATTCTCGTAATTTCAAAGCACATAAAGATAAGTTGCCAGCTTTCGTTCTCCTGATGCTCCGTCATAATGTTAAGGCAGAAACTTAATGTTGCTATTGTTTCTCTATAGTGATTTGGGTTTCAGATCAAGTCTTGTAGCAGACAGCATGTGGCTCATGATCAGTTCAGATTTGAAGTCAATTCAGACAAGCACCACTTTAAACTGTAAATCAGCATACCGACATTAATGATGGCATTTACTGACAAAGAATTAAAATGGCTGAGGCAAAATTCTGTTTTTAAAAAGTCCTTGTGTAAACAGTACTAATAGCATGCAAAACTCTCACTGTGACAAGAACCATTATCGTTCTGGTCCAATTAAATTACTTTTTTCCTACATTTTATCTTTCTTGTCATAGTCGTGAAAACAATTTCAAGCCGATGGTTTGTGCTCAAATTGCATCGGACCAGTGCCAGAGTCATGCAATATTGCATTTTGAAATAAATGTGCCTAACAAAAATAGCAGTAATAAAGGTCTGAAGTCAGTCATGACAGAAACAGTAGGTATCCCAGGGAAGTGTTTGCACAAAATGAATCTAGTTTGTTCTCAGTGGTTACAAGTGGAGAAAAACAACATTCCTACAATTTCTGGCTCAACATTGAGCACCAATTCCCCAAACAGCAGCAGCAGTACTGTGACGTCAACTGCGGTGACAGTTATTTTCTTTTCATGCTGACAAAATGCATTGCCCATGGCAAACTCTGAACCAAGCACTGAGACAGTAAGGCTGGTAAACAGTGAAAGTTCAAACACCTAAGGTGTCGGTAAGAACACTGGGTACGTAGGTTTTATCCATCCNCCCGATCATGCTGATTTTCGAACTTGACCTGCGTATTATGAATATCCATCAGTTCTCTTAGTTTCAAGCCAAAAGGTAAAATGTTATTTCACTTATCGTGTTATCGGTGTTGCATATATGCTGAGAAAAGTGAAAAACAGCGTAACTTCCCTAAAAATGACCCGATCATGCTGATTTTCGAACTTGAGCTGCGGATTATGAATATTCATCAGTTTTGTAAGTTTCAAGCCAAAAAGTAAAATGGTTTTCCACTTATCGTGTTATCGGTGCTGCATATATGCTGAAAAAAGTGAAAAAACAGCATAACTTCCCTAAAAATGGCCCGATCATGCTGATTTTCGAACTTGACCTGCGTATTAGGAATATTCACCAGTTCTGTAAGTTTCAAGCCAAAAGCAAAAACGGTGTTCCACTTATCGTGTTATCGGTAAAAGTGCACGACGGCGCCGACGGCGCCGACAGACGCAGATGATGGCTATATGTACAGACACATCTGTGTCTGTACATAAAAAAATATTTGTGATACAATTAGATGCCATATTCCTATGCTTCAAAATTTAGGATATAAATTATGTAGCAAAGGAATATGAACAGCAACTACAGGTAGCTCATCTCCAAGTGCAGTAAGGCATCCTTGATCCTTACTTTGCTTACTACAAAATAATCATTATTCATGTGACTAATACACAGAATGGTCCTCCCCATGTGACAGATAAGGTGTGGGGGAGGCCGTCACAATTTTTGAGTTTCTATGTCGGGATCTAATATTTTCTGTCAGCAGACGGTTAAAAATGGAGGATGGATCAACAAAGATAATTTGGAAGACTGTCAGAAAATGCCTCTGGAACCATCATTGGACAGATGGCAGCAGTGTGTAAGCCAAATGTCAGTCTTCCTGTCACCATGTCAACCGTCACATGACTCACCTTGCTCCTCCCCTAGTCATGGATGGCAGTAGTGTATATGTCAGCTGTCGGTCACCTTGGGTGGTGGCCAAGCACTGGTCAGCTATCTCCATCAGGGGTATACTGACCTAAATGGGAAAGGTCAACATTAATACTGGTAACATCAGGGCACACACTTTTTCTTACAGTTACTATTTTTGTTATCTTAAATTTTTTATTCCTTTGACACTGCATACCTACGTGGTGTTGTATGTATACAAGTTAATATGTATAAATATTTCTACTAGTGTCACACAAGATATTTATGACACATGATTCAATGACACTTTGACATAAAACATTGCTCCACTCTGAAACACACACACAAAAAAAAAAAAAAATGAATGATACTGAACCACTGCATTACATGAGGCCCAGGTCTACCTGACAGACCAGAACAAGTTTATGATATCAACATGTCATAATCCTATTGCAGTACTCACGTGTCCTATAACAAAGTCCATCTCTGGTTTGATGACGCGGAACTGTTTGTCCACTTTGGCTGAGGTCTTGCACCACACACAGATGTTGAAGTATTTATGATGGTCCTGGACTTCAAATGTGAAGTTTTCATTCCACTTTGGCTCCTACAATAAAGATCACATATCAATAATGTATGCTTAGAATGTCTATCATCATTTTTTTTTCTTTTACACAAAGACTGTAAGAAAAAAAATTCATAATTTCAGTTCATGCCTGCTATTTACCTGTGGTTATTTAAAAAGACATAATCACACACGGTAATGGTCTAAAATTTCAGTGTTCTTAAAGATGAGGCGCCTGTATAAAATTTTTACTACTTTTTCTCCAGTTACGTTTAACCTACATATATAATAATGATTATTTCTTCAGCATAACAACGTAAGCCCATTCCCTGATATAAGTGTCATATTAGAAACAGAAATATGACTTTTTATTATTATTTGAAGAAAAAGTCAAGATAAATTTTAAAGACATATTAAAGAGCTGATATTCACCACTGCATAAGTGACTAAAGATGTCTTTCTCAGGTCCATGTCAGTCTCTGTGTCAGCCCGGTCTCTGGTGGTACGGATGTTGAGTGGAGGCAGGTCTATATCTGGCAGGCTCATGTTGTCTGAGGGGATGGAGGACTGGAATTTTCATAGGCATACAAAGTCTCATATTTTTAATTATAATTCAGCAGACATTTGGCACACCAAGAAAAGTGATTCAGCACACCAATATAACATACAAATAATGGAAATACATGGTTTAAGAAAAAATATACAGGTAGAAGATTTAAGCACATATAAATGTTGAGTTAAAATCAATTACTTCTTCCTTGGTATTTAAAGAAGGGTCACTATGGGTTCTACAAGATGCCAAGCTGTCTCCACTTGAAACACTGTCCTTGACCTTGTCTTTGACCTTGACCCCTTCCACAGCTGGGTCTTCTTTCACTACGGCAGGGGCTGACACACTGGGCAAGGGTGTGGCCTTTGATGACGAGTTTGTTCCTTTGGACTCTAATCAATTAAGTACACAATTTATGTTAACATTTAAGTGGCAATAAAATCAAATACAAGCTTTGAATGAGTTTTAATTAATGTCCTTGTCAGTGTATTAATGATAAAAATTACAAAGGTTTTTAAACACTAGTATTACGCAAGGTCACCTATCCAATGTCTGCAGTGACACCTAGTGGACAATGTTGTAATCAAGGTCTAGCAAATAGACCAAAAGCTTGCCAAACTATAAGAAATTTACACAGTGTCAGTAAGTTTAAACTTTCATGAATAAAGCTTACATTTTGATTGATTTACCTTTCACTACAATGCAGCTTATGTGTGTGTAATCATTTTTTTTCATTAGCAAATGTCAAACTAGAGGATCAGAGAGGCGATACCGCCTCCGAATATTGTACCACCAGCTGGAGCAAGCGCATTCATATAGACCCCCACATATACAAAATAAGGAACACAGCCACCAGTCTTGTGCTTGACAAGCTGTAAAAATGCAATCAACAAGAATTTTCAAAATATGCAAAAAATATATATATTACTAAAAATGGTACGATCAAAGTTAAGTTCATCGCAAGGTAGGTCAAAGGTCAATTCCAAGGTCACAGTAAATTGCCAGTATATGACTTCCTATTCAACTTCAATAGTAACTATGGGCCTATCTCTGCCAGGTTTGGAGTTAAAAGAGAAAGAAATTAGCAGAGTGCAGTTCATG